TGTGTATATATATATATATATATATATATATATATATATATATATATATATATATATACACACACACATATATATATATATGTGTGTGTGTGTGTGTGTGTGTGTGTTTGTGTGTGTGTGTGTATAAAGTCAATTTCATTTTTTATTTAAAAGCACTATAACATTTCTTTGTAATATTAGCCTAGAATAAGCTTCTGACTGAGATGATGGACAGAAATTGGCATTTGAACTATACTTCCATGCAGATAATAGGAAACATCCTCTATTATACTTGAAAGAACAGGAATTAGAACAAGCAAAGTTAAATGGCACATAACCTTTCAATAGTTCCCACCACTTTTCATTCTATAATACCTGAATCCTGAAATAGCTCCCTCTCTCTGCCTTAATGCAGGAGGAAATGCATTTTGCTTTATTTTCTTTGTAAGCTCATTATGGACCAATCAGCTATCAATAAAATAGAATAAAAATATCTCTCCCAAGGGTTACTGCAGTAGAGAAGTTAAAAAAACCAAGATGTTTCTCAAGACATGCAATCAAAACCTCTTTCTCTCTTTTATTTGCATGGCATATCATGCAGATGAAACACACACACACACACACACACTTTTTTTAAAGTGGACCTTTACATTCAATCACACAACTGAAGGCCCCATATTGGATTATTTTTTACTCCCTCTACAAATGACCCTTACTGCATCTCTTACATAATTTACCATGTTGTCAAGCCATTGGTCTATTTCAGAATTAGGTATATTATGGTAGCTGGAGGTAATGCTTAATAGTTTTGGAAGGACATATTAAAAATAGACACAATTATATCAAAGACATGGACAAGGCTGAGAATTTTGGGAGTTTCAGCCCAAACATTATGTGGTCTATCTACATGGTTGCTAGGAGTTGAAAATGACTTGATGGCACATAATCAATCAAACCGCCACAACACTATGAGAAATCTAGACATCCCAACTCTAAGGGCAAACAAAAAAAGGCAGGAACTTCTGCATATCAGTAGCTAAAAGCATTTTTTGGACAGAAGTTCTGATCTTCCTAGTATTTCAGTGTTTGCTGTCTCTCCTCCTGAAATTTAATTAAATAAGTTATAATACTAATGTAAGAAATGAACGATTTATTTTTAACAAAGGAATGAATTTTAACAACTAACAGAAGCTTGACTTTGATCAATACTCACCCTTTTGTCATCTTAAATGATTTTTCCTATAGAATAACCTTTCTAAAATGTAGTGTCCTCAATGTTTCCATCATCCCCAATCACCCATCAAGGCTATTAAATTATTTTGATGTTTCCATTCACTTATGTGGAGGAAAAATAAACAAAAAAATATCCATTAGATTGGGTATTTGTGGAGTATGTCTGTATTTTCAACTACTGAGAAAAATTTTACTGCTTTAGTTAGCATAAATCAATGTCTGCTGCTCATTCAAGAGTGACATAGCTGAAAGCAGAAAAGAGGTCAACTTTTCAAAGAGAGAAAGAGAGACAGACCTCAATACAATAGATGAATAATACAGGTATATGGACAAAGCTCTATCCTCCTTTAAAACTCTCCTTGATTTATAAATCAAACTATTTTATAGTAGCTGCAATCTGCCCTTTTCCAAGAAACTTTATTGAGAATAAAAACCTAAGAAGACATAGGCAATGAAAAATATAGAAATGATTTAACTAATGTGTTAGGAATTTATCTAGAAGAATTTATCTAATAGAGAAAGAATTCTCTTCACATTTATTGCTGCTTTGTATGGAAATAGCTACATTAAAGACAACTGAAAGTTCAAGAACTGAAAACTGGAAAGTTCAAACTAAGAGAATAAATATTGTTTAAGATATGACAAGGGAAAAAAGTAGTTTATTATAAACAATAAGAATTGTGTTACTAGGTCAGTGTGTTAGGTCTCATCTAATATTCTTTTTCGGCAGTGGCTAATCCAATGCTTTAGGAAACTTACAAATCATAGGGGAGTGTTATGCTAATAATATCTTCCAGTCACATCCCACAACATCTACTACTATCCCAAAAGCATAGTCCCTCAGATACTCAAACTAATTATATAACCAAAGAGATTTAGAACAATGGTTTAGAAATGGTAATAGCAACTATTGTCATTCTTCTTTTTTTGAGGCACAATGAGGTCAGTTAAAGGTTAATGACCTTTGCTTGCATATTTTCTCTCTAAAACCTAGCAGGGGCAGGACTCTTCTGTGATTCATTGTCAATCCATATAATCTGAAGAACTTTATTATCTTGCACTGGTGGAATCACAGAAGGTAAGTATGAAGGGCATCTATTCCAACCTCTGCAATGTGCAGAAAAAACAGTTACAATGCTTGTCAAGCATCTTCCTAATAAAAACCCTCAGGAAATTGACACATCATAACCTGTAGGGAAGACGTTTCTACTGGTATAGCCATCAAGAAATTTTTAGTTTTATTTAACGGAAATATTGGTAGTTGCAATATATACCCATTATTTCTGGTCCTAGTTTCCATGGCAATGAAGTCTAGCTCCCGAATGCCTTCCCTATAGCACCTTTTTATGTATCTGAACACTGATAGTGTATCTCCCCTTAGTTTTCTTTTCTCCAGACTGAAAATTCAGGCTCCTTCACTTTATTCTGACAAAATAGCTTGTCGGGCCACTGTATCTTCTGAAAATGTGGTGCCCATAATCATATATGGGCTACAGGTATGGGCATGAGAGTAAAAGCATTTTTCTACAAAAATAAAAAAACCAATAAAAATTTGATTTCAATTAATTTGTTGATATTTCATCATTTAACAGATAATAAGTTGTCACTGAGAAAAAAATGTTTGCTTTAACAATATAATCCTCAATAGATAAAATAGTTTGGGAGAGATTTCTTTCTAAAATATACAGCAAGAAATAGGAGGCAGGCAAAGAGGACAGTTAACTTTACTCAAAATTTAAGATAAGAATTGCAATTGAGAAAAATTATTTAATTTCTACACTTATCTTCTTCCTATTATATCCACAGCAGCATTCAGTAAATAAAGAACCATAAATAAAACCAACTGTCTTTACAGATTGTATCTATGTTTTAAAAAGTTAATTTGGGGGAAAAAATCAACTGAAAGGCAATCTAAAATAACTGGTAATTATTATCCTATAGATGACTGAGTGATGAAAATGCATCTTCTAAAGAAAGGTGATGGAACCAGCCATTGAGAAAGCCTTGGTAGAGCCACCACAATGTAAAGTAGAACCATGGGAAGGGCCTTCATTCAGATTTGAATACAAGGACTGAAGTGAACCAGGTGATTTAAGTATCTTGGCCATTTCCAACATTGTTACAGAACAATTATTAGGAGCACTTTATTGTTAATAGTGGAACAGTTTGTATTTAGAAAATAATGACTTTTATCAAATGAATTAAGCAAAATGCTAATTTCCTATTTTATTGTAGCAAAATCCACATCCTCTGTAGCTTTTGGTTCACCAAGTTTTTTTATTACGTAAGATTATACAAGGACTGGATTTTTGTTTTAGACTAACACATAAAGATATGAGAGTCCTCACAGTAATCTTTGCCAATTTGAAAAATAAGCAGTTTTAGCAGGCATTTTTAGCATGTCACACACTGGTTTTGTATTTTTCTTTGTATACCTACAAAAAGGCATCATTGAAGATTGCAGGTTGAGGAGCTACAAACCCTGTTTCCCAACAGATTTCGGAGAAAGCAAAGAAACTTTCCAGGGGCTATTTTAGTACATCCCATTGCCAACTCAGATCCATAAAGATTGAGACACAAGAACATTTGATAGAGCAACCTTGTCTAAATCTGTATCCAGATGATGGGTTATACTACAATACCCAGTCACGGCTCCATGTGTGGCTCACGAGATTTGTAGTTCAACACATCTGGATACAACCAGGTTATGGAAAAGCATTTTTTCCAGAAATGGCCTCTTACCCCAAATATAGTACTGAACACAAAATCTAACAAATACTTAGTTTATTTTCCTATCTAGAACTCACCACCAATATGCCTGCCTTTCTCTTAATTGTAATGCATTAGCGTGCTGAAATCACTCCCGCACTGCACACATCAGGGAAAGGTGAATTTTTCAAGAGGAAACAATTGAGGAGGGAGGGAGGATGAAGGCAATGCCAATCGCCGTAGCATCGCGGCTCGTCTGCTGCTAGAGGGAAAGAATCCAACACTTTGGCACAGAAAGCCAACCAAGGGTGAAAATGAAGCCCCTGTGCGGGCAGGGGGCGGGGAAAGAGCCCCAGAGCAACAAAGCGGAAAAAGGTTTCGCAAGCACAAAGCCCAACTCCGGTAACAAAAGCCCCCAGGCTGCTCCTTAGCCAGGCGCTCCGCCGGCGCCGCTTCGACAGTTTCCCTCGGCGGCGCTGATGGCAATAGCGGGCGCCGCCCCCTTTCCGGGCAAGAACCGAAGGTGGCTCGGATCGGTTTTGTTCCTTGCAGCCAGCCGCTACAGCCCCTCCTGTATCCCCGCACAATACTCTCCATTCTCGGAGACCCTGCCCAAAGGGGGAGGCTGCGCTTCACCGCCGCCACACACAAAAGCGTGTCCGCGGCCCCTGCCCCACTTGCCTCCCGTCCTCACCGACCTTGAGCCGCATCGGGCGCCGCCAAGGTTTTGGTCACCGCCTTCCACACGTTGCAGCCCAGTAGGCAGAGGAGAAGTGCCGCCGCCGCCGCCCTACTCATTTTTCCCCTGCCGTGGCAACCGCGGCCGCTGCCGCCAGGAAAGGAAGAGGAGGCGGGGAGGGAGGGGACCGTCGGAGCCGCTGCCCAAGAGGAGGTAGGAGGAGGAGGTGTGAAGAGAACGCATCAGAAGCTGGCTTCCTCCGCGTGGCCCACCGTGATGCCCCTTTCCCACGCCGGAGGCTGCCGCTGCCGCTTCCGCTGGAGAGGCCGCATTGTCACCTTCGCGCTGAGCGTCGGCACCGCTGCGCGGGCCTCGGTTGCAGCGCGACGGCTGAGGGGGCTGCGAGGGGAAACGAACAGCGGGTGGCTCTCCCTAAAGAGGCAGCGAGGCTCCTCCACCATCCTCAGTTTGCTTAACCCCTTCCTTTCTCTCTCCCTACCACGGCTCTCTCCGCAGCTCAGAGAAGACAGGGCAGCCAGAACCTCGGAGCTCCCCCTGCTGACTAGCTCGGGGGTCGTTTTCACTATCGCTTCCCAGAAGCCGAGAGCTTGGAGTGACATTGGGTTGGTACTGCAGGAGTTAAAACGCTGGTCTGCTTAAGAATTGGTCTATACAACTTACCTGTAACACTATGCAAACAGGCACACTTTATTTTGGTATGTCTTCGCCGAAAGTGGGACTATTTCAGGTGGGGGGGGGCAGGGTGTCAGATTAGCAGAAAACAAATTTCTGGGGAAAATTCATTGGATAGTCTGTCTTTATCAACAGTTAATGTTGCAATATTATCCTGGCATAGGTATATTTGTCGCCATTTATATTTCTATCATGTAAAATGCCAACTTTTTTTTCAGAGAGTTGCCAGCATTTACATTCTGAAGATATGCAAGCAATGTTTTTTAATGTTACATGTGTCTATTTGTAACTTATTGTTAATCTCACCAATCTTTCAATCAATTATCACAAATAGCAAGTTACAATATGAGTAGAAAGCAAAGTGTAAATATTTTCAGAAAAAATAAATGTATATTTCATAAATCTCTGCCATTATACGGCATTTTTGCATTATCCAAGAATAAGAGATTTGATTCGTATTTAATAAAGTTATTAAAGTCAATATTTCCTGCCCCAAAATACATAATCTAGAAATCTCTATTTTTGTGATACATTTTCCTGAATAAAAATAATGATTAAACATAAACGAGGAACAGAGATGGATTGCTCCCAGTTTGGTCGAACCGGCAGTAGCAGTGGCAGGAGGCTCTGCTCACCCGCCTGGACACTTCTGCACATATGCAGAAGTGTTGTAATTGCACCTGGGAGCATCCCCAAACTGGTAGTAAAAATATTGGCAACCCACCACTGACAAGGACGTGTACTGGGTGAGTGTGAAATTCTTGGCGACAATAGCAACAGTTCCCTTCTCACACAATCATTTGGATGTAAACATTCTAAATTGACATGTAAATGGAAAGAAATAAATTTGAAAAAATGAAAAGCTGGGCAGAATAACTTGAAAAAATTATTAGGTTCTACCTAAAACTATTCCCAGTATAGATTATATTTTAACCGTTTCTCTTTTTCTCCTTCTCTTTTTCTCCCTCCCTGCACTTGACTCCAGAACCACTTTGAACAGTTGTTCAAAGAACAGTTTACAACAGAAATACAAAAGACTCCCAAGCTGCATATCCACTAAGGGCCCCAACAGCACTTTATCCCTAACAAGATCTGAGAGAACAAGGCCTAGTTTTTAGAGACTTCCAGGCTAGCACTATGTGTTACAATTTGTGAATTGCCTATAGTCAGTTTGGAAGTTGAGCGGTGTCCCCATGAAATAAGTATCAATATGTGGGGACGCCGTGGATTTCTGGGACAAAATCATTCCATAGGGCAGGCATTGCAAATTCCTGTCAAGCACTAATCTCATTCTGAATTCCTATTCTTGACAAGCCAGTTCTTTGGGCAAGAGTTTCTTGCAGCTACTGTTAAGTATCTCTCCTTTAGCATTTTTTTAATTGTTAAGATTATTTTTGGAAAGAAACTCACAATCTTTGCATGGATATATATCCTGCAACTGCTCCTATGCTGCAACAACCATACTAATAGAATTACTTACTACTAAATAGTTCTATTTTTGTTTCCATACCGCCCCCCCACCCCCCAGATTTATTTCTTTAGGAAACGGTCACATAAATAATATTTCAGTGCCTGGAAGTTGAGTCATGGCAACTGGAATTATTTTCTTGTTGGTTTGAGACGTTTCACCACTCATTCAAGTAGCTTCTTCAGTCTGGGCAAGTTGATTAGGGGAAACTGAGTAGGCAGAGAGCCGTTAGAATGTACCAACTTTTAAAAATTGGAGCTTAGGTGATTCCTGTAATCTGCTATTTTTATTACTGTCTTTTCATATTCCAACCTAACCTCAGGGTTTCTTCCCTAAAATGTATAGCAATATACCGATGAATATTCTAATTCATCTTGGTAGAATTGTCTGAAAACTAAGTTATGGCAACTGGACTTATTTTCTGTTGGGTTTGAGATGTTTCACTGCTCATCCAAGCAGCTTCTTCAGAATCTTTTATTGATACATTGTCATGCATTTTGTGGAAGAAACCCTGAAATTGGTGTGAGAATATGAAAACAGCAAGAAAAGTGGTAGACTACAGAATCACCTACCCTTCAGTTTTTAGAAGTTGGTACATTCCAACGACTACCTACTCAGATTCCCCTAAACAACTTGCTCAGATAGAAGAAGCTGCTTGGATGAATGGTGAAACGTCTCAAACCAACAAGAAAATGTCCAGTTGCCATGCCTCAACTTTCAGACAATTCTACATGGATGACTGAGAATCTTCACTAAAATATTTCACTGCATGTTCTTTTTAAAAACTTTAATAGAAAAGTAGGTACCTGGAAGAACTGCCCAAGAATGTTAGAATTGCAATTAAATTGTAGGAACAGCACTGATTAGAAAGGTAGCATCAAGAACATACAATACCATGCTAGCAACTAAAGCAGGCAGATTTGCTTAAATTGATATTGGAGCTGCAACCCCCAGAAATTTCAGAATACGGTTTGGAGAAGAGTGACCTAAAATAAGTTCATTTATAAGTTTGGTTAGTAAGACATCAACTCATTTCATTTGTAAATTCATTCTGGCATCATTTTCCATATCATTCTTATGGTCTATGTTCAAGTCCACAATATCAGGAACTGTGGGGTTTTTGGTACTCTCTCAGCCTGGTGGTTTTCTTGCAGAATTTCATTATTAAACTAGATAACATCATCAGTGCTAAAAGATATAGGGTTTTGTCTTATTTTTATATACTATTATAGTACTCAGTATCAAGGATCCCACAGTTCAACCCAGAGTTATAAATATTCTCTTCTATCAAAATCAGGGACGATAATCAAAATGATACCATCAATGCCCCTGAATTCTATTGCCAAATGTTAGAAATTTGCAAGCTTGTACAGATGGCCTAAAACCCAATTGAGCCCCAAATTTCTGTTGCTAAGTGAGACATTTGTTCAATGAGTTTTGCCCCATTTTACAACCATTCTTGTCACAGTTGTTAAGTGAATCACTTAAGTTGCTAAATTAGTAAGATGGTTTTTAAATGAACCTGACTTTCCTCATTGACTTTGCTTGTCAGAAGATTGCAAAAGCTGATCCAATGACCCTGGGACACTGCACCCATCATAAGTATGAGTCAGTTGCCGATTGTCTGAATTTTGATCACATAACAATTGGGATGCTGCAACATTTGTTGTTGTAATGCCATTGTAACTTTGAACAGTCATTAAACAAAGGATTGTAAGTTGAGGACTACTTGTACTGTACTCCAGGCTATCACTGCAATCTAATTCTAAGCAAACAAAGATGTGCATTTTGATGCTCTCCCGTCAGCTCTGCTGATTGGAAGACTCCATGGGGCACCATATTTGCAGAGACTTTGCCCTTTTGGATCCAGGGAAGTAGAAACTCTTGCTCATGTCCTCATATGATTTTCTTTCTATTATGTGCAAATATGTGCTGTAATTGCTCTGGACTTTCCAAATATGATAGCTGCACAAGATAAATTATATGTTTATTATTTTTAAGTCATTTTCACAAAGTTATATAATTGTGTAAAACTTTTAAAGTAGATATATTATTTTATTGACCTATGTTTTTCACTTTCAAAGTAACAAGCTGTGGTGTTAGGTTATTTTTCTTTCATTTATATCACATTGGCTGGTCAAGGACTGTAATAATGAAATTTTATTTGAATTAAGAGAAAAAGTAGGTGAACTTGGCATGTCTTTGAAAGGCACCAGAAATGGCTTAGGCCAAGATTAATATTCTACCAGCTTCCAGATCTCTCAAACCCACTTATTTTGCAATCCCTTTGCAGAGGTAATGTATCACTAAAAATGAGTGATCCTTGTCTTTTTATATTTCTGCTATTTTTGTTGCCTTTGCAAAGAGCGATTGTGCCATGCTGCCCTGAAAGCCCATCAGTTCTGTTGGTTGTTGCAACCACAATCTCTTCTCTCCGCATCAGTCCTTTCTGTCTAGTACTGAGTTTATACTGCACACATGTATTATAATCAGCTAAATTTCTGTTTGGCTTTACTCTGCAACAGGCAGCCATGTTGTTAAACTGCCAGACAGAATAAAGTGTCATGAAGAAAAAGAGGTAAATGATTGACTTAAGCAAGAAGCTTGTGATACTGCAAGGGATACATACGTAAAGTAGGTATAGCCCTACTTTATCAGCAGATTTTCATTTTGCAAATAATGCAAAGACTTAAAATTACTGCTGGTGTTTCTCTTCTCTCTGAGGTACTCAGGCCCTTCCATCTGGATAAGAATTTCTGTGATTGACTGCAAACAACTGTTCTTTGATAGCTTCCTGTTTGGGTAATGACTAGAACCTGTCTCTAACTCCAGTGAGGGCAGGACTGAGCAGACCTGGATAGAGAGGTAGTCTTGAGGGAGGAAATTGAAATGAAAGGACAAGGGAAAGAACTATATGTTCCACCAGCACAGAGGGGAAAAAGAAAGAGGCAACAGGACAGGAAATAGACAAAGAATGACTGAAGGGAGTCGCAACACACACTCACATGTATACTAAACATAGCCCGTATCATATAGTATTAAATAATAATTACATCAGTACCTCTTGTCAACAATGCCCTGAAAAATAGAAACCCATTATAGCTCTTCTGCTCTCCATACACCTCTTTCTTCTAGTACCCTCCAACTTCCTATCTTCCCTCTATCATCCTTTCCTACTCTATTTCCCCTTCCTTTCTACTGCTCCTCTCTCTACAATCCACTCCT